CAAATGGAAGAAATAAAAATTTGGAAATATATAATTAAATGGGGAATTGCTCAAAACCCAGGCTTATCATCAAATGGGCCAGAAAATTGGACTAATGAAAACTTTCACGCTTTAAAAAATACATTGCAAAATTGTTTACCTTTTATCCGTTATTTTCAAATATCTGGTAACGACATTGTCGATAATGTTCAACCATATCATCAAATTTTAGATAGAAACCTTTGGAATGATATAATGAAAAGAGCTGTAAATCCAAATCGACAAATATCATCAACAATTCTTTCACCTCGTATAATTTTAACACCAACATTACCAACACGTTCCACGGAACCATTTTCAACAGTTATCAATGAGGCACATGCCGCCGAAATTGCATCATGGATTGATAAGAAAACCGAGATCTATTCGGCAATAAATAACCCATATGAATTTAAATTACTTCTTCGTGGCACTAGAGATGGTTTTACTAAAGAATCATTTTGGGATTTATGTGATAAGCAAGCAAATAATATCGTTGTTATGAAAGTTAAAGATGCCAATGAAATTCTTGGTGGCTATAATCCAATTCAATGGGATAAATCAATTGATAATTTTGTGAGTTGTAATGATAGCTTTATTTTTTCATTGAAAAATGGTACTATTCAATCCTCTATTTTAAGTCGTGTAAAATTTCAGAAATCTGCAATTTATTGTTGTTCTGGTTATGGTTCGCATTTTGATGATCTTTGTATGTCTTCTAATTATAATCAAAATGGATGTGAATATCGTTATAATAATTCTTTATTTGCCAAACCATCATATGAAAAGCCAATTAGAAATATAGAAGGTAAATTTTCAGTATCAGAATACGAAGTATTCCAAATTCAGCGAAAGTAAAATAGACTATTCAAACATACATAAATTTCATAATAAAAAATACTATTGTTTTTATTCATAAAAAAGCACTTGTCGGAAAATAAATAAAATTTACAGAACAGACTTATACATTATTCTGCAGTGAGCTTATTTACACAACAGATACTAACAGCCATATTCTCGGGATTTTGCTTTCTGGCTCAAGATTATGTATCTTTTCCATTTGATTGATGCCAAAGGAAAGCCTGTGAGTCGTTTGTTGAATATTTACTTTTAACAAAATAAGTAAATTACATTTGAGATTTTAATTTCATTTAACATCTCATGAAAAGATTCGATAAAATGGCAATCTTTGTAACACACAGCATGATTAAGTATTGGTGAATCATATACACTAGCTCCACACGCGGCACCATGTGCCACATTTTATACTTTATATGTAGGTTTAATAGATATTGATAGCATAATATGTTTTATATTTGATTAATATAATTTTAGTATAAAAGAATTTTTTATCAAGAAATAGTGTAAAGTTATTAAGTTTTCAGTATATATTATATAATATAAAAAAAAGATATTTGAACTAAAATTTTTTAATAAATTTTATGGTTTTGTTAAAATAGTTTATCTGGTATTTAATTGTGTATTATATTTATATATTGTATTCAAAAAGTATTCTTATTCTAATTTATTTTTTAAGCAATTTTGAAGTTATATTTATTTGAATTTTTGCTTGTATTTGATTATGTATTTTACAGATATAATAATATGTTGATTTTTAGAGTACTTCTTGATAAACTATATTCTTTGTTTTAGTACATTAAGGCGGGAGCTTAATTCGTATAGAAGATAAACTTTTAGCTCTTGAAAATGCAACATATAATTGTCCATGGCTGACAACCAGATCTGTAAGCATTAAACCAACATGTTGAAAAGTTTGTCCTTGTGATTTATTAATTGTCATAGCAAATGCAAGTCGAATAGGAAATTGTGTTCTTGTAAAATTCGGCAGAAAAGAATATCCTCAGTTTCTCCCGTAGTTAAGTTAATTCTTTGGGCAATTTCCTTATCAGTTAGTTGATGTTTTTGCTGATAAGCTAGTATTTTTTGACAAATCTTGTACTTACTTTTTTCCAAAGCAGTTAATGAAAAGGTAAAAAATCATCAGTAGGCTGAAGCTTGATTCTTGGTATCAAAACTCTTCGTCCAGCAACATTTCCAGTCATAAGCTCACAATCTAAGACATGATCATGCATTCGTCGTATAATCATTCTTACACCATTACATAGGCCTTCATTAACATCTAAATTTTGTAATAACATTACCACAGCACCTTGTTTAAGTATTAATTGGTGTGGTGGTAGTCCATTAGGAGTAAGAGAGTACAAAAACTTCTCTGGAAATTCTGTTGGGTCTTCATTATGGTCACAAATTATCTTGTCAATACTTAGGTATACTTTTTCTTGTCCATGCATTTTTTGAATTACTTTATTATATATATCAAGGCTAATTTTGTTTGTTGTACAAAGAATTACAGTTGAAATTAAAGATGTTTCATCTTCATTTTCTAAAACATTGTCAAAAACATCCATTATTAGGCTTTTAGTTGATATATATTGTTGCAGAACTTCTATTTCTTCATTAATTGTTGGAAGAGTTCTATTTTCAAGATTAAATAGCCATTGTGCAAATTCTATTTCATCCTTGTTTGCTCTCATATTTTGTTGAAGTTTAAAGATAGTAAAGTGTGACCAAAGATGAGAATTTTTAATACATGCTGCAACACTTGAAGCTCTTGATCCTCTTCGAATTACTGGTAGCACTTGTCAAAAATCACCACCTAGCACTATTATTTTATTACCAAATAGCTGATCACTTTGCATTATGTCTCGGAGGCTAGCCTCAATTACTTCTAAAGCTTGGCAAGAAGCCATAGGGGCCTCATCCCAGATTATAATCTTTGCTTTTTTGATTTGTTTTGCTTCTTTACTATTAACAGATATAAGTAGTTGAGAGTTCAAGTCTAATTCCAATAGTAATTTAAATCGACTGTGCACAGTTGTTGCTCTTGGTAAAAGATTTGCAGCTATACCAGTTCAGGCTACAGTAAGTATTTCAATTCCAAGTCCATTCATAATATAACATAGTGTTTGATATAAGAAAGTTTTCCCTGTTCCACCAGGGCCATCTACAAAGAAGCATTTATTATCATCTTGTCCATTAGCTGCTGCTATAATTTTATCAGCTATAATTCATTGGGCATTATTTAATTGAGCATA